GGGGGGGGGGGGGGGTTGGGGTTGGGGTTGCAATAATTACGTTCTTGGCCAAAGATAATATCTATATGTGCATTTAAGTTGGATAGTATGCTGGGTGGCTAGGTATGGTGCTTTCAAGTTCAATTGTTGGTTTCTTTGTTTGTTATCTTCCTAAGAAGATATTGAAATGAATTATTCCTCGGTAAATTCCTTTGGTTTGTTGCTAATAAGCTAGTTTTTACTTATCATATGTAAACACCGAGTGAAAGGTCAGTAAAACTAGGTTTAAGCCATTACTTGATATGTATAATTCAAATTTCTCTTTTGGATTAATCAAATTCTATAAAACCTTTATATTTATTTTGAATTTTTTTTAAACTTGGTCATTATTAACTGAGGCAATCTGAATATACTGACCCCCCAAAGAAGAAACGTTAGGCTCACTAGAGTTGATGAGGTGTCTGGTGAAATGGAAATTCAGAAGAAAAGGTGACTTAGATTTTCGCTAAATGACATGCATTAATGTGAACATTTCAGTTGGTATTACAAGCCTTTGCTATCTCCGTTGACCCTTTCTCCTTTCATTCCTTCTTCTCTTTTATGTCCTCTTTCTCCTTGTTTGCCTGGAAAACACACTTTTTTGTGTACCAACCATTCCCTACCCAGATGTATTATAGTAACTAATTCTTAATCCTTCATGTTGTGGAATCCTGTTTAGACGGTTATTTGTATATGCCTTATGTTTAAGTGTGTATTTGGTTTTCGCAAACCTGCAGGTGGTTTGATGCTTGATTTTTGTTTTCTTCAATTTACTTGTATACGAGCATAATGTTTTTGATAAATGTCATTTTTGGCAGTGCATTGTATACCTGTTCTCTAGGCTACCAACTTTCCTTATTTGCCTGCATTTTTTTCTGCTGCATTCAATTGCTATATGGATGCCTATGGACATTGTTGTTATTATTATTGAGGATAACCTTTTCCAAGAAAATATTCATTGTTATTTCCCCCCGTGATATTCTTTCTTTCCCCTTCATCAGTTGTTTTATCTAGGGTTTCTTTTTCCTTCTGAATGTCTCATAGTAGTTGAGAGTTATATTATCATTTCTGATCCCTAAACTTGTTAGGGTTCAATTTTAGTATCTTCTACGTGAATTGCAGACGTGTCCTAACCATCATATCTTGATCGGCACTATATGCTGGACCTTGTCTTAAACCTTTCTTGATATGGCAGTACATAGCTAGGAGGTGCCATTGACATGTGGAGACATCAGGAAGGTTGGTGTGATAAATATGTTTGTCATATTGCTAATGAATGGAGATCGTAGAGACCTCTCTTTTTTATAACCATGAGATCGGGAACTGAGCGAAATGACTTGCTTCGGTATTATAGTGTCATGGATCCATATTTTACATTAAGTTATGTCCTTTTACTGTTTAATGAGTTTATATCATTTATCTGTTTCCTGTATGAATGTTGTATTTTTTCTAGAAGTATTTATTATGAGTGGCACTTCTATGATGATTTGAAGATGGTTAAGCCTTTTATTTGCTAATATTGTCAGTTATTCGTTTTTTCTAAAGGATGACGCTGGCTTGTTCATTGTCAATATTTACCTTTCCAAGTGAAAATATCTCTTGACTTGTAGGTAAATTGGCGTTTATTATTATGATCTCTGAATTAAGTAAAGGTAGCTTCATGTTCATATTTAATACTTCACTTCATATTTTATTTTGCTTAAGTTACATAACTTGTTTATGGAATCAACGTCTTTCTAATTGTTCTGTACTTGCTTTGATTCTTTCTTTGTTTTAACTTATTTATTGCCATTCTATTTTTTGCTGTCCTTTTGATGATCATATCTCGAAGATGCTTACTTGCTCTATACTTCGACTAGTATGTGATTAGTTTCCAAGAGTGCTTTCTACATTGGTAAACATGTTTTTGAAGATAGGCCAATATTTGGCTTTCATTCCCCTTTGTTTAAGTTCTACCTTTTTCTATCTAATCATAGTCAAACTTGAATCTCAGTCCACATTCAAAATAACTTCTCATTATTATCCACCTGTTTCATAGTCCCCACTGCTATTCCTCTTGAAAAGTTAGTAAGTTACTAATAATCAACCCTGAATAGAGGTGAAAACTAAGATTTTCCTTTTCTTTCTTTCATTCATTCTGGCACCTTTAATCTGGATAAATGAACAAAAAACTGGATTTATTTCAAACATGTAACCTTATATAAATTATGTTATGGGTAGAACGTGAATACTTCTTAGCCTCTTGTTTATTTTGTTGCGTTAGATATAAATACAGGTAGGGCACGAAAAGGCTAAGACTTACCAAATTGTCTATGCAATGATGCTGTTTAGAAACATGATAGGATTCCATTCTATTGTAGTTAAAATAGGGAGGAGGGTACTTGGGGGATTTTATAAATAAGACATCACACCAAATGTACATCGGGGACAGGAGGCCAGTGTATTGCTTTGCATCCAAGCAGAAATTGGGGTTTGAAATTGGAGAGAAATTGGCCTTTCGAATGCTCATCAAACTATTGTAATTCCATTGTCTTTCATTCAGTAATACAGATTTGACTTCCTATCAGAGCATTGGTTCTAGGGAAAATGCCAATAGATTTCAGCAAAGAATTGGAGAAGATGGGGTCATTAATGGCGAAATTTGAGCAGGTACTGCAAAACTCAGTGAAGAAGATGATTTCGGATTAGATTTGCAAGGCCAACTGACAATATTGATATTCTATGGGGAGAGTCCAGATTGGTTGGCTGTATAAGGCGGAGAGGCTTTTCTCCATGAATCACTTGTTAGAGGCAGATAAATTAGATGCCGCTCTGGCATGCTTCGAAGGCAAAGCATGGGCGTGGTTTCAAGGGGTAAGTCGGCATCGACCCGCACAGACTTGGGGAGAATTGAAGGATTTTATGGTGGGAGAAATTATTGGCCCTTAAACTAAACAATGTTGTAAGGGAAGATCAGCGCCAATTTGAAAATTGGCAACACCGTTGAAGATATTGCCAGAGAACATTGTGGAAGATAGATTTGAAGAAATTTCAGCACTGAGGAAGAAGATGTAGGGGCACGCTGTGGAAGGGATGATAGTAATTGGATTGAGTTCAGAATTAAGGCTGAAAATTGGGTGCGAAAATCAGTGGAGTTGGGCCAAATTACAGAGGTAGCCCATGGGGTTGAGAACCACAACTTACCCCAAGGTAGATTAGGCTCAATTCTCCTCAGTAGACCATCTGGGGCTTACAGCCACCCAGTTACCCAACTCCCTTCAAACATGTCTATGAAGGAATCTGACCCACCCACTTGCGCACAAATTACGATCACACTAAATTCCCCCCAGTCCTTCCAGTGATTGACTGATGCTGAGCTGCGGGCCAAGATGGATGCAGGATTTTGTTTTAGATGTGATGAGAAAAACTCTATTGGGTATCATGGAAAAAATAAGGGGTTGCAGGTTTTGTGATTAGGGACAACTTAGAGGGAATAGAGGATGAAGCAGAAGAATCTGGCAACAGGAAAGAAACTATGAGGGTAGAAGACTCAGGTTGAGCTTTCAATAAATTCCGTGGTTTTGCTAACTGCCACAAATTCAAGGAGCTTTTAGAGGCAGATTGTGCAACAATATGTAATCATTTTGGTGGATATCCGTGCAACTGACAGTTTTATCCAATCAGACTAGGTTATGGGATTTTCATGGACAAGATACTAGCGGGAGGTAAGTCGATTGGGTAAGTATGCCCATTCCTTCAGGCTGAAATATCCCTTTTCTGGTTTGACCATGGCTTCTTGAAAAGGAAATTGTTAGGTTGTACAGAGTCTTGGAATTGTCCCGGGTTTCCAAATTTTGGGACAAGGTGAATTTCAGGGGTGGAGTAATGATATGATTCCATTCTTTATAGCTCTGACTCCGAACGATAGGCACCTGAATTTGTTTTATTGAATGAAAAGATGGTATTGAATTACAAGTTTTGATGAGCATTGGAGAGGTCCATCTCTCTCCAATTTCAAACCCCAATTTCTGCCTGAATACAAAGGAATACAATGGCTCCCTGCCCCCTATATATAACTAGTGTGGTGCCATATTTTGTAAAATCCCCCAAATACCCTCCTCCCTATTTTAACTATAATAGAATGGAATCCTATCAAACGCTACTTGTTTGTTTAATAAACAGAAGTAACTATAATAGAATGGAATCCTATCAAAATGCTACTTGTTTGTTTAATAAACAAAAGTTCCTCTAAAAAAGTTTTAGATTATCTGGCATCTCAATGGATATTAGGTGGTTTGCTCTAATATCATCCCTTTCCCTTTTATTGAATTTTTCCTAATTTTAACGTTGTAAAGAAGAGAGATCTATAACTGTTTTGAGACTATATTTGGGAGGAAAACCCAGGTGCAACATAAACCACCAATAATAACTATAGCCCACTGAACCCAGTAAAGTTTTGGGAGAGGCAGGGTGAAGGGTATCTAATACTATGCAAGGTTTGTTAATATATATCTGAAGTTAAATTTATGCTCAGGCCAACAGTTTTGGGTGATTGGTTATCTTTTATTAATTCCCTTTGCTAATTCCACCCGACTTTAAATCTTTCGATCTTTTTTTTTTTAATTACTAAAAATAAATGAGGAATGCGTAAAAACTTTCGAAATTATCTGAAACACTGTTTAATATGAGCCATCTTTTGAAATCTGTGTGTATTGGCTATCATTCTAGTCATCATTATTTTGTTTGTATCATTCTACAGAGCCATGCATTACATTATTTTTCTTGCTTGGATTTATTCTGGTTTATTTAGTCTTCTGGTTTATTTAGTCTGAGTGTGGCTTTCTGAACTTTATTTGTCTGTCATTTCACCAGAGGGAACTTGAATCTCATGCTTTTGCAAACTTCTGAATTATGCATCTCATTCACTGGCGATGATGGTTGTGTAGAGAGGCTAGCAACATTGAGCACTGAGACTCAACACTCTGCTGTAGAAATTGAAGTAATCTCAGCGGACAAGTCGGGACGATCTTTCTTAATAAAGACGCCAGGTAGTGAAATTTTTTATTTTTGGTGCTCTGAAAAATCCAAGCTTCTGGGGAATGAATTGCTCCAAAAGGTATAATACACAAATTATTCCACTGGAATTTACATTTATGCTTGCTGTTTATGTTATTCCCAAATGCCTTGATTTTCTATCCTGATGTAGATGAAGGATATACTTTTGAGAAAACCTTCACTGGCTGAATTAACTGGAATTAGTGAGTCACGCCTCAACTGCTTTTCAATTTACCTTCAAGCTTATCTTGCTGGATCCATGGTGTCTACTGCAAAATCTAGTGACTGTTTTGTGTTTGCTAGCACTTCTCTAGATGATTCAAATGATTCTTCTGAATTTCATTATCCTCAGTCTTCATTCAGAACTATGAAAAATTCACGTTTTCGGCACTATGGCAGTCAAGGAGCAAAGACAAACCCATTGTATCAGGGTAGCCTTAGTCCTAGGTCTAGTTCCTTTAAAGAGGGGTTGCCAAGAAGCTTGTCTTCATTGAGAAGTATTGCCAAAGAAAAAATGAGGCGACGTGGAGAGAGCTATGTTTCATGTGTTGAGAGCTCAGACATTGCTTCTTCAAGTAGTGCAGCTCGGTTTAGTTCAAATTGCTTTGAGAAGGAAAAGTTTTCTGAAGCAACTGAAATTCACCAGTTTCCTTCATTGAGTTTTTTGGATGTACTCATGAAATCCGCAGAACTGTCCTTTTCTGGCCCGGGAACTCAAGTAACTTCGTTGGCTTCATCTTGTTTCTCTCCCTACTATTGCTTTTGTCCTCTGGCTGCATCAACTATGCGATACGCTATGGGAACTTCACAGCTGCCTATTTCGTCAATTGAATCACTCTCTCTGCCGTCACTGTCATCTCATTCTCAGCTATCAACTGCAAGGCCATCTAGTCTTTTGGCGTCAAAACCCTCCCTTAATCTGGCTGAGGTCCCCCCATTGGATTTTCCTCCTCTCTTGCCAGAGCCTTTGATCAGGTTGCCATTGACGATGCCAACTTCTCAACAGATCTTGACATATACACCGTTAATATGTGACCCCATTGTTCATATTCCAGTTATAGATGTTTGCTCTTCTGGCCAAGGGTACTTGGTCAGCACAGGTCTGGCCATGTCGACTTCTGTATCACCTCTAAACGCAAATCTCATGGACCCCCAGATTCCAGATGCTGAATCAATGCTAGAAAAAGGTGCTAGGGACACACTTCGCTTTCTCATCAACAGCTCCAATCAACCCAACTCACAGCTGCTCGAAGTATTTAATCCGGTCCTTAGCAGCAGCGATGATAAGCAAAACTTGCTTGCTGTTGGAAGCCGCGGTCTTTATTCTGGAAGCAGAGATGTAGATGCTATAGCAAACTGCATGACGGCTATGGGTTTAGTTTCATTTCCCAACAAATCCTCGGGAAGTAACAATAGCAATCGACTTGTTGGTAGAGATTATTTGGTTGATCAAAGTGAGAAGCCTGCCGGCTGTGGTCCATCTACCTCAGATGACTGTTGCTCATCCTTGAAAGATTGGAAAGGACAGATTGATTGAAACATGATTGCTTTTTCCCAGTTTAGTAATGGAAATGAGGATTGAGAATTGTAATATAACGAAAGAAAAAATGTTCTTATGTTTTGTAGTCTTTTGATATTTCCTTCTTTATGTTCTGCTTTTGTTGCTTGCCGTCCAAATGTTTCTCTGGTAAATTGGCAGCTGGGGTTTATTGTAATTACTAATAAGTGATGCTTTTGTTGTCTAGTCTTTGTTTATGAAAATTCTGACTTTCTTGATCGACTCCCTTCAGGT